ACAGGTAAGGTGCACCTCTTCATGATCTTTCTGAATGACACACAGGGTAGCCTGGTGGTAAAAACAATTGCTTGTCACATTTAGGACCTGGGTTCGATTCCCCACATGGGTACAATGTGTGAAGTCCATTTCTGGTGCCTGATGTAATGTTGCTGAAATATTGCTTTAATACTGTATTGCTGAAAGCGATGTAAAACTAAACTCACAGCATGTCATTACAATGGTGCTGATTTCACGTTTACCACTTGGGTGACAGTTGTGGAGCAGACAATCCTGGAGACCTGACTGGTGTCAAGTTGAACCCATGATGAAGGATTCTGGCCTGCCCACAACTGTGTGGTCACTGTGCCCCACCAAACATCTTGAAGAGTTTTGGGTGCCTCATTCACAGGGAGAAACTTTTACAATTTGAGCATCATTAGTTCAGAGCTTTTTGACATGTTGAGCTGGAGCATGCAGCTTGAGAGAACACAGAAATATTGTGAAAGGATAAAGTTAAATAGAGCTCAAATTTTAAAACAGATTAACTCCTCCACCCCATCCCTCCCTCGATAACAAATAAATGCATATTCAGCAATTCTCTTAACAGCACGTTCCATTATTGAAACAAGAAGACAAAGTCATCAATATCCCCCGCAATGGCAAAATACTCTTCATGATTATGTCTACGAGTTATGATTATATCAAATATCTAGGTGTGTATATAGAAAAGTGGAAGGAGAGTATTGAAAGGTTTGCTCCAGAAATAAGCACTATCACCAATTTCAGTCTATGTCAAACTTGTTGCCATGGAAAAGCCAAAAATATTTTATTCAGAATTCCAAAACTACCAAAAGGCACCAGTACACCACCAGATCTATCTAGGTGCCAAGTTTGGTGAAGAAATAGTGAACGGTTTTAGAGTTCAGCTCCGGAAAAGAGCACTACAACTAATTTCAGTCTTAGTCAAACTTGTTGCCACAGAAACACCAAAAATATTTTATTCAGAAATCCAAAACTACCAAAAGGCACCAGTACACCACCAGACCAATCTATGTGCCAAGTTTGGTGAAGAATTCCAAAACTACCAAAAGGCACCAGTACACCACCACACCAATCTATGTGCCAAGATTGGTGAAGAAATAGTGAACGGTTTCAGAGTTCAGCTCCGGAAAAAAGCACTACAACTAATTTCAGGCTAAGTCAAACTTGTTGCCACGGAAACGTCAAAAATATTTTATTCAGAAATCCAAAACTACCAAAAGGCACCAGTACACCACCAGACCAATCTATGTGCCAAGTTTGGTGAAGAAATAGTGAACGGTTTTGGAGTTCAGCTCTGGAAAAGAGAACCACCACCAATTTGAGGCTAGGTCAAACTTGTTGCCATGGAAATGCCAAATATATTTTACCAAAAGGCACCAGTACACCACCAGACCAATCTATGTGCCAAGTTTGGTGAAGAAACATTTAACGGTTTTAGAGTTCTGCTCCGGAAAAGAGCACTACCACTAATTTCAGTCTAAGTCGAACTTGTTGCCATGGAGACACCAAAAATGTTTTATTCAGGATTTCAAAACTACCAAAAGGCACCAGTACACCACAAGATCTATGTATGTGCCAAGTTTGGTGAAGAAACAGTGAACGGTTTGAGAGTTCTGCTCCGGAAAAGACAAATGTGCACGGACGGACGGACGCACGCACGGAGTCCATTTTAATACCCCCCCGCAAAACGTGTTGTGGGGGATAAAAATATGGCAATGATACACAACATGTATATTTAGTCCTACCACTGCCTACTAACAAGTAGCAGTTAACTTTCAGCAAATATGATATGCTTGTAATTAGCTGTATTAGCTGTATTCATTAACCTGTGCTGTGCCGTCTCCATCCGTTCTCAAACACCTGGCTGTCCCCTTCTCTGCACCCCTCCCTCGTAACAAACAGTGATCTTTGTCAATATTTTAATGATAGTTTGTTAAACAACTTTATTATTTTTAAGACAAAACTTCTGCAAAAACCTCACAGAGTGGGTATGATGTTTTGATTATGATCAGCGTTTCATTGAGTATTTATGTTCATTAGTTTTCGAGTTAGATTGCAATTCATCGGTCTGCTTTTGAGCCAAACGGACTATAATTAGCTGTAAGTAGGATTCAAGCCTCTCTAAAACAAATTGTGTGTCCTGACAGGCAGGGGCAAGCCTGCAAAAAGATGCAGCTTCATTGCACCAGTGGTTTCTGAGATGACTTTTAGAATTAGTGCGTGAACGAGTTTAGCTTTACGCCAAACTCAGCAATATTCCAGCTATATGACGACGGTCTGTAAATAATCAAGTCTCGACCAGACAATCCAGTGATCAACAGTATGAGCATCGATCTACACAACTAGGATACGATGACGTGTCAACCAAGTCAGTGAGCCTGACCACCCGATCCTGTTCGCCGTCTCTTACGACAAGCATGGGTTACTGAAGATCAATTCTAACCGGATCTTCACGGGTCTGGCTTTTAGATGCATGGATGACACCAGACAACATGCCACCACTAAAGATCCCTAGACTCTTCAGTCAGATGAGTTGGTTTCTATCTCTGCCCTGGCACGTCCATAATTTTCTGCAGAAAAAAGCAAACAGATAACTCGTGTGAAATCAGACAACCATGTATTGTTTGTTTTCTCTCGTTACAGTTTTCGTCAGAAAAGTTCATTCGCATCCAGGAATTATAAGGTGAACAACTGATGCTGTTACTAGAAATGAACAGAATGGATAAAACAATGCCTCGACTTACTCATGTTAACAAACACAATCAAAGCACTAACAATGGCAATATCATCTACAATCAAATGTTAAGTGGTTCACAAATGTGCTAAAAATCTCTAACTGCAAATGAATTAATCAGATCATGGGATACATGAGCGTTTGCTGAAATAACTCAACATCACAAAATAAATATGATAAAGCACATAAACGAATACGAGTGATAACGACCCATTATCAAAGGACTTAACACGTGAATAGGGACAATCTTTGTGTGTGGAATATGAATCATAACACCCCCTTATCTACAGATTTAACCCATAAGATAAGACAACCTTTGTATAAGGTATACGAACAATAACATCCTCCACATCAGGGATTACACATTTCCACCCAGTGACAACATACCATTGCTATCACCCTTACCAAGAATGTGCAGACCAGTCTATCAATGTTGCTTTAGTTTAAGTTCCACATTAAAAGAGCAAATTGTTGGAACGCGTTCAACCCTAACTACTTCATGTGTCCACTGGGAAAACAGCTTAACCTTAATAGTGTGGGAGAGGAAAGGTCTCATTTGCATCTGTTCTCTTTACTGAAGAAGTGGCAGCCAATATCTATATCTGGATACTTGTAACATAATACATTAAACAAACTTTATCTATCTTATTTTTTTAAGATAAAGAATACCTTTTACTGGCAGGCAGGCCTGTGGAACTCAGTAGTGCTATGGGCTAGACATGCTTTGTTATCTTGACAATACCAAACGTGTACATAATGTTCCTCTATCCTTGAATATACACAGTTGGCAACCAAGGTGGCCTACAGCAATCAAATGACCCCAACTTGGGTATGCACTTTGAGTAAGTCCTACCACATCTCCAGCTCTAACACTGCCTGGTGCTGAAGCAGTGTGAAGATGGTCAAAAGATGGTAAACCCACTGCATCCTAACCATTGCCTCACAGTCAGGCCAGGACTTGATTTGTCGCTTAAGGGTAGCGACTTCACCACACAACAGACATCTGTAGCTACAGGTGATGGGGGAAGGTTGTGTACACCAGCCTGTTAAGTATTGGCGAGATTTCGTTGCATGTGGCTGCCATTCATCAACTGTTCATTCGGGTCAGAATATCCAAATCAGGTCTGTCCATAGTTACCGCTGTCAACGGTTGGAACCAATTCCTGCCGATACTAAAGCTATGTTTCTTTTGGCTGACATTAGAAGTAAACCGTTTTACATTCTCTCAGGACCAGGTACTTTCTCGTATGATTAAAAAATACTGCAGCAAATGGTGAAAATAATTTCCTCAATTTCAATAAAAGAAAACTGTAATGTTAACTGAACGTGCCAGATGCAGAACAACATCTTTGAAGGGTCCAACAAAAAGACATGGCTCTTGTACTCTGAGAAAGGACTTTCGACCTCGATTGCAACCTGACAAATATTCTGTTCTCAAACATTCCAAGATACCCCTCCCAAATACAAGAATTAAGGTTATGTCATAGACATTACTTTTAAGTGAGAATGTGTTTTACCTCATTGCTTCATCAGCTTTACAAAACTAGAGACCACATCACCAGCACAGGTTCCCAACACAATGTGATAATGCAGAACCACGAAATCAAATCCTCCAACCTGTGTAAGGATGTTATGAAGAATACCAACCTGCCGAATCAGAGGACTTATCTCTCCCTAGTACTATATATGACTGCACATGAGCCAAATGTTTAGGACCAGAGAGTACATTCTGTAGAAAGGGGTCAGATTTTCTAAAGGTTACTCTTTCATCATGCTTCATTTTCTTCTCTTTGACTGGAGGGGTAGTTATAGCATATATCACAATAGACAGGAGTCAAATACAGATAATCTGCCCACCCTTGCTACATTACAACATTATTGGTGAAGCTCTGTCACATACTATCAGGGGTTTATCTAGAAGCTCTCCCAGGGGATACTCTGATCTAAAACTGCAGCAAATGTCATTAAAAATATATCAGAACAAAATCATGTCCTGTTCAGGAAAGTCATTACTGACATTATGGATTTGTTCAAGTGTCTTGTATTTCACAGATCAATAAACACAATCTCATATGCTTAAATGACATCATGGATTGAATACAACCTGACATGAAAATACCTGAACTTAGAACATCATTGTTTTTTGAACAAAGCAATGTAATGACACAGTGACAACAGGTGCTTGGCAGGGGAACTCAGGTTTGATGCTTGATAAACCCCATCCGTCAGAGAGTAGCAGCATGAGTGAGTGAATGGTTTTACGCCGCTTTTAGCAATATTCCAGCAATATCACAGCAGGGGACACCAGAAATGGGCTTCACACATTGTACCCATGTTGGATATCGAACCCCGGGTGTTCGGCCCCAGCTACCACCCCCAGTAACATGACATGCCTGACACTGGGTCGACCGAGTGAAGATAAAGAACCTATACCTGGGATGGTAGACTGGTCATAAAAATTAACATTGACAATTAATTGCAAAATTGTATTAAAGCAAAATAGATTTTGACTGGGATAAACACATACTATTAATAGTACAGAGAGTTGAAAATAGACGTATAAAGGTTAATACAACTGAAACTCCCTACAGTGAATTAACAGCCATATGTCCATTTGTTTGTTGGATCCCATATGCACTGACAAGAAACAATGCTTCCACAAGATGATAGTGCTAAAAGCAACACATCAATTTGTTTCCCTTTTTCAACTCTTACAAGTAATGTTTGCAAAATGATTGAGCAAATATAAGAGCTCTTGTCAGTATTCCAGGGCCCTTATTCTCGAAACATTTGTAGCCCTTAGAATTCTTAACTTTGATCGCAACCAATGTGTTAAGACTGGGCTTACGAAGTTCGTAGGGCTACGAACGTTTGGAGAATAGCCAGCCTGGTTTTGATAATTTGAATCCCTATTTTGATTTCTGGCTTTGACAAAAATATTTCATGATCCAACAAATAAACAGGTAATGGCATAGATTTATGTAACAATTATAACACAGTTTTAACTAATCATATGATATGCAAGGAAAAGTATAATAAGTGGAGTTCTCTCCCCTCAGTGAAGTACAGATTCTAGTACTTTTGTTGGGTTGAGTCCCATCCGGGATTCGAACCCACATCCTCAGAATCAGGCATCTAAATCACCAGCACGAAGTCAGCTGCTAGAATCTGTGCTTTACTGAGGCAGTGTAATCCCAAATATAACATTCATTACATTTGACCAGTTTCTAAACGACACTGTATATTCATTGAGTTCTCTCCCTTGAATTACCAATCCAATACACCCATAGTACAAAGGTGGCCCAATACACAGGGAGACAGTTCTTCAGTTCAATATATTCAGACACATAGGAGTGTCTTGGAAATGGACTTGATATCATTTTCAGTTCTCTTGCTAACAACCCTGAACCCATTAATACCTAACATGTTGATGGCGCAGGTCATGCCTTGCGAAATCGTTAACATCTTGACGTTAATTGACCACCCTAATTAATATGCTCACTTGCATCCAGTTCAGATTTACTCGGAATATAACAGTAATGTTTACTCTGTCAACTGGAAATGAATATATATCATCAGTTAAACAACACAACACCTGCCAGATGGTCAATACGGGGGAAGACAGGGACAGAGTGGGAGGGACAGGACAGGTGGGTCCCGGGGACAGGACAGGAGGGGGAACACAGTGGTCCTGGGGGACAGGGAACACAGTGGTTCCAGGGACAGGAGGGGAACACAGTGGGTCCTGGGGACAGGACAGGAGGGGAACACAGTGGGTTCCTGGGGACAGGACAGGAGGGGAACACAGTGGGTCCCGGGGACAGGACAGGAGGGAACACAGGACAGGAGGGGAACACAGTGGGTCCCGGGGAACAGGACAGGAGGGGAACACAGTGGGTCCCGGGGACAGGACAGGAGGGGAACACAGTGGGTCCCTGTGGGACAGGACAGGAGGGGACACAACACAGTGGTTCCTGGGACAGGAGGGGGAGGGGAACACAGTGGGTCCCGGGGACAGGACAGGAGGGGAACACAGTGGTTCCCGGGGACAGGACAGGAGGGAACACAGTGGGTCCCAGGGGACAGGACAGGAGGGGACACAGTGGTTCCCGGGGACAGGGACAGGAGGGGAACACAGTGGGTCCCAGGGAGAAAAGGAGGGACAGTCCAGGGGACAGGACAGGAGGGGAACACAGTGGGTCCCGGAACAGGACAGGAGGGGAAACACAGGACAGGAGGGGAACACAGTGGTTCCTGGGGACAGGAAAGGACAGAGGGGAACACAGTGGTTCCCGGGGACAGGACAGGAGGGGAACACAGTGGGTCCCAGGAGGGGACAGGACAGACAAGAAAGATGGGCGAGGACAGGATGGGGGAGAGAAAGATGGGCGGGATCAGGACGGGGAAGAGTGAGTGAGTTGGGTCTCACGCCGCTTTTAGCAATATTCCAGCACTATTACGATGGGGGACACCAGAAATGGGCTTCACACACTGTACCCATGTGGGGAATTGAACCCAGGTCTTTGGCAGATGAGCAGATGCTTTGACCACTAGGCTACCCCACCGCCCCGGATAATAATAATAAGTTATCTTCTATAGCGCACAGTCTCCAACCACCAAGTGATTGCTTGCGGCGCTTAATCAGAATCTGATTCTTATTACCCCGGATAACTCAAGCTGCCTGTTAGGCGCTAGAAGGTTATAGTCACGTGACTTTATCCAACCGGGTGCCCTTTTCTGCTGGGTGAACAGAGGCAATTTGGAACAAACTCACTTGCCTAAGGTGAGACCACATGTATCACATGTGCTTCGTTGAGGGGCAGGACTGAAGTCCTAGAAACTCTCAGGAGTCAAGCTGCCAAACACGGCCACCCATCCAAGGACTGTCCTGGCTCGACGTTGCTTCACTTCAACTGATTGGTGACCTGAGCTCGGTGCACAGGACCACACCTGGTTGGTGACAGGATGTGGAAGCAATATGGGTGGGGACTGGAAGGGTAAGGGCAGAGCCAAGCAGAAGATGTCAGTCATGATAACTGCTAAACTTTTTCACTGTTACCCTTATACATACATACATACATACTAACATTTGTATAGCGCCGATATCCAGCTCAGCTCAGCTGCTCAAAGTTGCTTTGTTTTCCCCTCGTTCACTGGATGTCAATCTCAACGGCACATCGTATTGTCAATCTCAACTCCCTTGGGAGCATACAACTCTTGCAGCCACTAGGCGCACCGAGTTAATGGGGCATTCCCATCCTTACGAGGTACCCATTCACAGCTGGGTGGACTGGGACACATAGTCACAGTACTTTGTCCAAGTTATTAGACACAGTTTCAGTAAAAATGAATGAATGATGACCTCCATGATCAAAAACACCACACGAGGGAGATAATTCTGTTGAATCGGTTTGAAAACATCTCACCAAAATTCCAAATCTTTTTGACAAACTCTTTGTACTGTTTTCAAAAACAAAAAAAATTTCAGAGAGATAAAGTCTTTTTAATATCATATTCAAACAGTTTCAAATATACCCCAACAAAACAGCCTAGTTTTCTCTGCGAACATGTCTCTAAAATGAACCACTGTGCAATAAGGTGGAATTGCCTACACCCACCCTGAGAGACCAGCTGGCTGAATTGTCGTGTTGTGTAAGAGTCAAGATGAAAGACATAACAAAGCCCAGCCTATAATTCTAGCTACATCTCAGTATGTCAAAAAATATGTGTACAAAATGTCAAGTCAATAGTATCTTATTGCAAAACTCATATATGTACAGAATGATGCTTTTGTATCACCTTACAATAACTGTAGCCTGGTGGAGCACCCACCAAGCTGAAAACGTCCCTGCTGAACAGTACTGAAAAGTATAAGGCCATCCAGTACAGGGTACCACAAGGGCAATCTCGTAGAGAGGTACCAAAGGCCATCCAGTACAGGGTGCCTAAGGCCATCAAAGTGCAAGGTTACCACAAGGCAATCGTAGAGAGAGGCCATCTCGTAGGAAATTCCCACCCAGTACAGGGGGTACCTAAGGCCATCAGGGGTACAGGGTACCACAGGGTACCTGGATCTCGTAGACAGGACCAAAAGGCCATCCAGTGCAAGGATACCACAAGGCGATCTCGTAGAGAGTACCAAAAGGCCATCAAGTGCAGAGGTGCCTAAGGCCATCAAGTACAAGGGTACCACAAGGCCAATCCATTTAAAGGATAACACAAGGCGATCAAGTCAGTAGACAGTGGTACCTCAAGGCCATCAGAGTACAGGGTACCTAAGGCCATCAAAGTGGCGGGTACCACAAGGCCATCCAGTACAGGGTACCACAAGGCATCTCCAGTACAGGATACCACAAAGCGATCTCAAAGTACAGAGTTCCTAAAGGCCATCAAGTACAGGGTACCACAAAGGCCATCAGTACAGGATACCCCAGGGCGATCTCGTATAGAGGGTGCCTAATGGCCATCAAATTTACAGGGTACCACAAGGCGGTCCATTAAAAGGATACCACAAGGCAATCTAGAAGAGATCTGGCCATCAAAGTACAGGGTACCTAAAGGCCATCAAGTACAGGGTGCCACAAGGTGCCATCAGTCCATCCAGTAAAGGGTACAAAGGCCATGCTGTACGGGGTACAAGACCATCCTGTACAGGGTATGAGGCCATCCAGTACAGGGGTACAAAGACCATAGTGCAAGGTACCAGGGTACTTACAAAGGTATAAGGCCATTCAGTTACAGGGTACCGCAAGGCCATATCTGGTACAGTATACCCCAAGGCATCCCGGTACATACAAGGCGGTACCAGAATTGCCCCAATGCCATACAAAGTACAGGGTACCACAAGGCCATCCAGTACAGGGTCATAAAGTATTAAAGGGGTACCACAAGACCATCCAGAACAAGGGTACCTCAAGGCCATCAGTACAGGGTACAAGGCCATCCAGTACAGGGTACCACAAGGCCATCCAGTACAGGGTACCACAAGGATCATCCAATACAGGGTACCACAAGGTCATCCAAGTACAGGGTACCACAAGGCCATCCAGTGCAGGGTACCACAAGGCCATCCAATACAGGGGTACCACAAGGCCATCTAATATCATCTCCTGCTACCCACAAGCTGTCATAGATATCTGTTTTCCTGTTCTTGAAACAATATTAACAAACATCTCATTTCACTATGCTATCTGTGCTATAATTCATCTCAACCTTATTCAAAGAAGGGAAGTAACTCTGTCCAGGACCCAAATCTGTTCTTTCTCTAACATTATAAACGTTCTATATATATACAGCAACTGCCCAAATACAGTAAAATAGCAATCAAGCAGCAAAACATTGTTTGCATTAAGCAACACAAAACCTATCAGTGCGCTCAACCAAAATACACTTTAGTTTTAACTTTCAACATATTTTCAGCCTGCCATCTCTGTGGCTACCAGTATGCAAGTATGGAGATTAGTGAGTGAGGTGAGTTGGGTTTAACGTCACTTTTAACAGTATGCCAGTTATATTGCCTGGGTCAGCTTAATGAAAGGCCAAACTGATGCATGTGTCAGATGCTTTCCACTTGGGTACACCCACCAGAAAGGGTAGGATACCGACATGCCTGTAGCCTTGGTTTGACCAAGGAAGTAACTCTGCATGGTAGAGTTGTAGAATACACAAACCTTACAGTGGTAATCCTCAAAACTAAAAGCAACAAACATAATCAGGGGAAGCTACATTAATCTTGTACCTAATAATTGTTGAAAACCTGACAATGATTGTGACAAGTGTAGCGTCAGAAAGTGGGCAAGCATTATGAGGGAAATTTAAGCTTTACTCATACACATATGGTTGGTTGGTTGGTTGGTTTAACTTGTTTAACGCCGCACTCAGCAATATTCCAGCTACACTCCGGCGGTCTGTAAATAATCAGAGTCTGGACCAGACAATACAGTGATCAACATCATGAGCATTGATCTATGCAATTCGGATATGATCAATTCACACATGGCTGTCATGTTGGAGGTGTTTCTGATGCAAACAAAACTGAAACATTATGATTGCTAGCCCAATAGGCTGCGTTAGGTTACCTAACAACACAATCTGTAGTAAGATCTGCTCACATATAGGGTCTGAGGCCATAGACTTTGGCTGTATGACAAGAAAAGCAGGTTGAAGGCCCTTACAACTACGTAGCATCCGATGAGCAAGCTATAGGGAGGGAAATCAAAGACCTGAATCCTGGCACTGACGAGAGACATAAATCTGCACAGATACAAAGCTTGATTGGCAAGTAAGGTAATAAAACAAGTTAACTACGTTACCATGAACTCACTCACTGAAATCAGAAGGCTGGAGCATGGCTGTTTTCCATAAACTTGCTTCTGGTGATTAATAAGCGACTGCATTGTATATGTGGTCATAAGCCCAATAATACCACTGACTGTTTTGCACGATCGTTTCACATTCATTGTGTAGCGAAGTATGAAATCAGAACACTCTGTACAAAGATTGCAATAATTTATTTAGCCCCACCAACACTCACTTAAAGATGGTGTATTGCATACATCAGACAGGTCCCTGAACAATTCTCTGCAAATCAGGAAACGAATATTAACATAAGGAATACGCAGACCTCCCTCGAGGCGACAGTCATTGTCATAGTGTTGTTGGGTCATAAGGTCATCAAGGAAGGTTTTGCCTCTTTTGAGGGGAAGGTGATAAAAAAATGATATGATGCTTTTGTTCCTTACAATAACTTAGCCTGGTGGAGCACCCACCAAGCTGAAAACACTGCTGAACAGTACTGAAAAGTATAAGGCCGTCCAGTACAGGGTACCACAAGGCGATCTCGTAGAGAGTACCAAAAGGCCATCCAGTACAGGGTACCTAAGGCCATCAAGTACAGGGTACCACAAGGCAATCTCGTAGAGAGTACCAAAAGGCCATCCAGTACAGGGTACCTAAGGCCATCAAGTACAGGGTACCACAAGGCGATCTCGTGAGTACCTCTCAAAAGGCCATCCAGTACAGGATACCACAAGGCGATCTCGTAGAGAGTACCAAAAGGCCATCCAAGTAACAGGGTACACAAGTTGATCGCGTAAGGCCATCAAAGTACAGGGTACCCATCAAGGCCATCCATTAAAGGATAACACAAGGCGATCTAGTAGACAGTACCTCAAGGCCATCAAAGTACAAGGTGCACCTAAGGCCATCAAGTGGCGGGTACCACAAGGCCATCCAGTACAGGGTACCACAAGGCATTCAGTAAAGGATACCACCAAAGCGATCTAGTAGAGAGTTCTAAAGGCCATCATCAAGTACAGGGTACCACAAGGCCATCCAGTACAGGAATACCCCAAGGCGAACTAATTATGGTTGCTTAATGGCCATCAGGGTACAGAAGTACCATAAGGCGGTCCATTAAAAAGATAACATTGAGGGCGATCTAGAAGAGAGTACCTAATGGCCATCAAGTACAGGGTACCACAAGGTCATCATCCAGGCAGTATTAGGCAACATACTATTACAGGGTACCACAAGTCCATCCTAGTAAAGGGTAATAAGTGCATCCTGTACCAGGGTACAAGACCATCCTGTGCAGGGTACAAGGCCATCAAGTAGAGGTACAAGGCCATATAGGTACCGGTACCCCAAGGCCATCCAGTACAGGGTATAAGTACATTCAGTACAGGGTAGAAGGCCATATAGTACAGTATACCCCAAGGCCATACAGTACCAGGTGGTACCCCAATGCCATACAGTACAGGGTCCCACAGGGCCATAAAGAGTAGAGGTACCACAAGACCATCCAGAACAGGGTACCTCAAGGCCATCCAGTACAGGGTACCAGGCCATCCAGTACAGGGTACCACAAGGCCATCCAATACAGGGTACCTCAAGGCCATCCAATACAGGGTGTAAATTCCAAGGTCATCAGTACAGGGTACAAGGCTATCCAGTACAGGGTATTAGCCATCCAGTACAATACAGCCATCCATAGGAATTCCACCAAGTCCATCCAGTAAAGGGTACTACAAGGTCATCCTGTATGCGCCAGGGTACAAGATGGGGTCATCCTGTACAGGGGAAACACACAAGACCATCCAGTACAGGGTACAAGGCCATATAGTACCGGGTACGCTGGCAAGAGTATACAGTACCATTCACCAAATACAGGGTAGGAAGGCCATCCATAGTATAGGTACAGTATACCCCATCCAGCATGGCACCACCAGGTGCCCCAATGGCATACATTGCAGTCATCCCACAGGGTACCCTCCAAGGCCATATAGTAGAGGGTACCTGGACCATCCAGTACAGGGTACCTCAAGGCCAATCCATTTACAGGGTACCAAGGGCCATCCAGTGGCAGTACAGGGTACCATAAGGCCATCCAATGCTGGGGCACCTCAGGGCCATCCAATACGTGGGGGTACCACAAGGTCATCCAGTACAGGGTACCACAAGGCCATCCAGTTACAGGGCAATGCCACAAGGCCATCCAGTGCAGGGTACCACAAGGCCATCTAATATCATCTCCTGCTACCCACATGCTGTCATAGATATCTGTTTTCCCTGTTCTTGAAACAATATAACAAACTTATCTCATTTCACTATGCTATCTGTGCTATAATTCATCTCAACTTTATTCAAAGAAGGGAAGTAACTCTGTCCGGGACCCAAAATCTGTTCTTTTCTCTAACAGTGCAAACGTTCTATACATATACAGCAACCGCCTCAAATACAGCAAAATAGCAATCAAGCAGCAAAACATTGTTTGCATTAAGCAAGCATTACAAACCAACAAGTGCGCTCAAGCCAGTGTAACATACATTTTAGCTTTAACTTTCAACATATTTTCAGCCTGCCATCTCCTGTGGCTACCAGTATGCAAGTATGGAGATTAATTGGTGAGTGAGTGAGTTGGGTTTAACGCCACTTTTAACGAGCCCAATACCAGTTATATTGCCTGTCTGCTCAGTCGAAAGGCTAAACTGATGCAAGTGCCAGATGCTTTCCACTTGGAGTAGACCTTACACCAGAAAGGGGCGGGATACCGACATACCTGTAGCCTTGGTTTGAACAAGGGAAATAACTCTGCATGGTAGAGGTGTAGAATACACAAACCTTACAGTGGTAATCCTCAAAACTAAAAGCAACTAAACATAATCAGGGGAAGCTACATTAATCTTGGTACCTAATAATTGTTGAAAACCACGACAATGATTGTGACAAGTGTAGCGTCAGAAAGTGGAGCCAAGCTACCATGAGGGAAATTTCAGCTTTAATCATACATATGGTTGGTTGGTTGGTTGGTTTAGTTTGTTTAACGCCGCACTCAGCAATATTCCAGTTATACTCCGGCGGTCTGTGTAAATAATCAGAGTCTGGACCAGACAATACAGTGATCAACATCATGAGCATTGATCTGTGCAATTCGGATATGATCAATTCACACATAACATATGATGTTGGAAGTGTTTCTGACGCAAACAAAAACTGAAACATTATGATTGTTTAGCCCAATAGGCTGCGGTGAGGTTACCTAACAACACAATCTGTAGCAAGATCTGCTCACATGGGGTCTGAGGCCATAGACTTTGGCTGTATGACAAGAAAAAACAGGGTTGAAGGCCCTACAACCTACGCTTCAGCAAAACCGAGGAGCAAGCTGTAGGGAGGAAATCCAAAGACCTGAATCCTGGCACTGACTTAGAGACATAACTCTGCACAGATACAAAGCTTGATTGGCAAGTAAGGTAATAAAACAAGTTAACTGCGTCACCATGAACTCACTGAAATCAGAAAGGCTGGAGCATGGCTGTTTTCCATAAAGCCTGCTTCTGGTGATTAGTAAGCTTGACTGCATTGTATATCGTCATAAGCCCAATAATACCACTGACTGTTTTGCACGATCGTTTCACATTCATTGTGTAGCGAAGTATAGTGAATCAGAACACTCTGTTACAAAAGATTGCAATAATTTATTTAGCCCCCACCAACACTCACTTAAAGATGGTGTATTGCATACATCAGACAGGTCCCCTGAACAATTCTCTGCAAATCAGGAAACGAATATTAACATAAGGAATACGCAGACCTCCCTCGAGGCGACAGTCATTGTCATAGTGTTGTTGGGTCATAAGGTCATCAAGGAAGGGTTACTCTTTTTGAGGGGGAAGGTGATAAAAAAAATGATCTCAGTATGTCAAAAATATGTACAAAATGTCAAGTCAATAGTATCTTATTGCAAAACTCATATATGTACAGAATGATGCTTTTGTTCACAATGCAATAACAGCCTGGTGGAGCACCACCAAGCTCGAAGAAAACACTGCTGAACAGTACTGAAAGCCATATAAGGCCGTAAGGCCATCCAGTACAGGGTACCACTGAAGGCGATCTCGTAGAGAGTACCAAAGGCCATCAAGTACAGGGTACCAAGGCCATCAAGTCCAGGGGTACCACAAGCAAGGGTCTCGTAGAGAGGAAGTACCAGTACATCCGTATCCAGGCGAAGGTGCCTTAAGGCCATCAAGCACCAAGGTACGCAGGAAAGATGACCTCGTAGAGAGTACAAAAAAAGGCCATCCAGTGCAAGGGTGCTCAATGTAAGGCGATCTCGTGAGAGTACCAAAGGCCATCAAGTACAGGGTACCTAAGGCCATCAAGTTACAGGATACCGTTGAAAGGATCCATACAAAGGCGATCTTAGTGGGCAATTTACCTCCAAAGAGCCATACCGCAGTACAAAGCAATACCGCACCTATGTCATCAAGTAGCGGGTACCCGCGAAAGGCAAATCCGGTATGAGGATACCACTGGGCATTCCAGCAGTAAAGGATACCACAAAAGCAGGTCTAGTAGGAGGGAGGATTTTCACAAAGCCAATCAGAAGTACAAGGTGCCATAGGGCCGTCCGGTACCGCAGGATACCCCAAGGCCGAACTAAGAAGGGTACCTAATGTGCATCAGAAATTTTGGATATACACAAGGCGGGTCGATTAAGAGATAACACAAAAGGCAATCTAGAAGAAGAAATTACCCACCAATTAGCCATCAAGTACCGAGATTTTCCTAAAGGTCATCCAGTGCAGAATTGATAGATGACCACGAGTACCAGGGTACCAATAGGATCCATCCACAGTAAAGGGTATTCAAAACCGTCTCTATTTTCAGGATGCAGAAGATCATCCTCCGCAGAGTTACCAAGAATATCCAGAGTACAGGTATAAAGAATGCATATAGTGCCTGGTATTACAAGGCCATCCAATTGGTGGGGTATAAGGAGCCGGTCAATTTGTTAAGGTAGGTTGCCATATAGTACAGTAGCCGCCCTAAGGCCATACCAGTACCAGGTAACTACCACGCCATACAGTACAGCAAAGGTCCCACTGAAGTCCATAAAAGTGAGGGAAAAATGCAAGATAGACCATCCAGAACAGGAGTTGCCTCCAGAAGGCCCAGAAATCCCGACACCAGGATATTTCGAAACCATCCAGTTACCAAGGGTACCTGAAGATGCATGCAATACCAGAGGAGTACCTCAAAGGCCATCCAATACAGAGGATTACCACAAGGTCATCGAAGCAATAGGGAATTTTCCTGGGGCCATCCAGAATATGAATTTTCACATTGACACATCCAGTACAAGGAATTTCCACAAAGACCTCTAATATGTCATAATAAAATGCTACCCTGAAGCTGTCATAGATGTCTGTTTTCCTTGTTCTTGAAACAATATTAACAAACATCTCATTTCACTATGCTTCATCTGGTATAGCAATTAATCTCGAAACCGCTTATTCCGAAAGAAGGGAAGTAACTCTG